GCAAAAAACATTTTTGAAGAAACGCCCGCAAAATTATAAAAGGCGCTGATTCAAAAGGTGGCAATTTACAGATTTTTTGCAAACAACGAGAATTTGACTGTATTTAAATGCTTTTCGAATGAAAAGACGCGGAACTGTGCATCTAGTCGCGGTTTTTCTTAAATTAGTTTCTCAAGCAAATAACACCTAAGAAAAATCGCGACCGAAAAATGTCGTTTTCATTCACACCGAGTCAAAAAAGCATATTTCAAATTTTCGCTGAAAACTGGAAGTTTTGTCAAAGCTTCAACCAGATGGCGTTTACGCCTTAAAGGGCCGCGCGCACCCATGCCTTGACGCAACTGTTTAAATCACCGCTGGGTGCACCAATTAGCGTCGGAAATGTTGCCAGTTAATTATTTACGACCAATCAGTGTCCAGCCGGCACAACCGCATCTTGTTTTAATTGGAGCGATGGAGATCAAGGCGGAATTTCAGTTTTTTCTCGCAAAAGTCTTTGTCCCCCTACGTCAACTCGTCTTTGACGGCTGTCAATGAACAGGCAGGTTTAATTTGGAAGACACACAACTTTGCGTGTGACTTCGGGAAAACGAACGATTTCGGTAGGACTGGGTAAGTCAGTGAATTTTTAGGAGTTGGCACGGTGCGGCGCAAATGCTTGGTGCGCCAACCCAGCGCACCGGCGCAGTAACTCAGTTCCTTTGCTGGGAAAATGTTGATGACTTTTTTTAGATTTATTTTAAGGGCCATTTATTAGTGATATTTTTAAAATGTCTTCGAATTTCACAGTTTTCCAGTTTTAGCCAAGTTAGTTTTAGTCAATTTTCCAAAGTTTCACTTAAAAATGCTGACAATCTCAAGGTATTTTCCGTGAAGAATTATGAAATAAATTTCCAATCCTTCGTCGCTTTGTAAACAGTTTTGAAATCCCTTTCCGGCTTCGAACTTGGAACCTGAAAAGTCCAGTCTCGGGTCTCGTGAAGCTTCAATAAATGACTTATAGCTCATCAGCCGATGAGTTATAACTCGTTAACTCAGAAAGCGGCAACAACTCAATAGCGCAACTCAACACAGTGTTACGCAGGCCTAATTTTTGGTACTTTAACTCGAGTCAGTTCCGGTCCACGGGCCCATTTTTCGACACGCGGAACCATTCTTTAAATACAACGTTGCCATTTACATCCTAATTCCGAGTGTGATATTAAAGGATCGTCTACTGGCATCATGCATTTGCAAAGTTTTTCGGCATTTCTTGTTATCAGCAAACTTTTCGTGATTTGTTGTCCGCTGGTGGTACCAGCGACGCCTGCCGAACCGCTGCCTGCATCCCTGCATTGTTTAGACGCGCTTGGCCAACCTGTGGTCCCGATTTGGGTCCGGTAGGTCATCCGACAATAATCAATATCAACATTCCGTCCTCGAGAGTGGCGGTGCCGAAGAACTTAACAGTCGGTCAAGACGCAAACCTGTCTCCGACGGCAGGTACCACTTCGAATTGGGACACCTGCGGCGTTGCCATGTCACACAACCACATGGTTCCAACATCAATTAAATGGACCGTTTTTTCAACTGAATATACAGGGCGCCAACGAAACTGATCTTCTGGTTGTCGACTAAGCTGTGACGCCATAGAGTTGAGTTGGAAGTTTTTGTTTGTAAAACTCATTTAACTAGACCTCCCGGGAAATCTCGAGTTGTAGAAAATGATTTCTTTCAGACGTTTAGCAAGCAAGTTCTGAAAAGCTGATTGCAGTTAGTTAAAATGTTCGTGACAATATTTTTTTTACGTCAATGAGGCTATTTTTTGGGAAGATAGAGTCGAATCAAAAAAGGTGGTTCGTCTCTCCCGGAACTACTCTACACAGATATGGGCTAAAACTGCCTCAAAAACACCATTCTTAAAACGACATCAATGTACCCAACAAGGACCAAGCGGAAAAAATCAAATGAAGCGTTGCTCTTTACAAAATAGTGCAACCCAAACGAAAATCTGCAACCTGGCAACGGCGCGCCTTAAGACGAAATCAATGTACAGGTGAACGTTTGCCAATGCAGGCACCTGAAGGTGTGTTGAAACACTTCGAGCACCCCGTATATGTGATCTTAACGGTGAAAAATGCGCCGAAACTGGAAAATTCTGGCCAGCTCGAGCCTTACCTCATCGTCCTCCTCGGTACCATTTTCGCCCGGTTCTTCGTCCATCAAAACGAAACCGACGTCGTTGTTGTTGTTGGGAGCGTCGGGTGTTTGTCGCGCGTCCCGACGCTCGTCCTCGCTCACGATGACAAGACGGCGTCGTCGCGACGCCGGTCTCAGTAAATCGACGGTCAGCTGATCGCTGGCCAGCGAATCAGGCGAGTCCGGGTTCTCCATGCCGAATGCGATTGGTCGATTTGAATGGTTCGAAATTCGCGCTTGGTACCGTCGATTTTACATTGTTTTGCCCGTTTTCCAGACCGGCTGATCAGGTTTTTCAATGCAACACTTTGGGTCGCTGCAGGCCCGAATTTCGGGGAAAACTCGACGGTCAAAAAAATTCGAGTTCAAAGCACACATCAAAGAGGGCGCGCCGATTCATCATCGGTAGGACGACGCGCGAAGAAAGCTTCAGGCAAACTGAGGTTCCACGGCCAAGTTGCCGCTGGCGGTGGTACCCTCCGGGGGGAGCGAGAGGTGAAAAATCTCCCGTCCTCTCCCCACCTTGTTTTGCAGGTACCCGCTGTCCGAGCGCGGCTACTATCTTATGCGAAAGATGTGATTTTGCCGGCAATGGCAATTAATGACTTCTCAATAATGGCGCTGCCTTGGAAAGAGTGTTCGCATTTACGAACAGCCCTCGTATATAGGGCATGTGCGACGAAGACCTACTAGTTTCCATGGCGACCGTTCGCTCGCTCTCGCTTCCGAGCGCAGCGGCGCAGCGGGTTGGCTTCGCACCAACAATACCAGGGTGAGTTTTGTTCAGATTTCAAACGTCTTTTAGAGCGTTTGCTTAGTGGATGTTGCGGTTTAGGAGTCGATGGAAATTGCTGGTCTGCATTCACTCCTGATTGATTAGAGGGGCATCATCAAGTGACTTTCGCTAATTCGATAATAAGTTTTCAATATTTGTTGAGTCCCAGCTGGGAGGAAACATCAAGCTCGAAAAGAGCCGGAGGTTCAACAACCTGCTGACCAAATGTGCCGATCCTTTGACCCACATATCGAGGATTTTTTTGTGATGTTGCGACCGTTCGCACTAACAGTATATGCGCATTCCGATCTTGTCCGCGCGACTTCTGAGGGCGAGACTCGATTTCGGACGTCGCATGGACGCAAATCCGGTCACCCGGGCGGCCCTTGCCGTTACAGGGGACTCAAGCGGACCAATCAGCTGGCGCGATTGAATTCCGTCAAAGAGGTATATCGAAAAATTCGCATCAAATATCGATCAGCTGTTCACTTATCGACGGAAACTGCCTGCAACCGGGAAACGGTAGGGCGGCTGAGAGGAAATTGGAAGCGCGCCAAAAGATAAGTTTTCAATGGAAAACGAGCAGTCAATGGGGCCATTTTTCACTTCGAAAGATTAGCCTGGAACAGTCTGCGAAAAAAATCGCACACCGTCGAATCCGGAAGTTGTGACGGTCTGCACAAAACCGAAAATCGGAAAAACAGCGTTGAAAGCCACCTCTGGGAGCGGCCCCCTTAGCGAACATCGGCGCTAAACTGACGGGAAATAAATTTGCGGAACCCTTGCGGTGCCGCCGTCGGTGTTTATTCAAATCGCGACAACATTGTTGCTGATTTATGGTTTCGCAATCTGACTTAATTATCAGCGACATGACAACGTCGGCACCCGATATACAGAGTTGTCACAAAATGCACAAAATAATGTCTGCCAGACAGGGGCGGATCCAGCTTTAAATTCTCTAGTCTTCTGTTGTCTATGAGATTAGAAAAATTGTCGTCGTTTGTGCAAGGGTGGCGCAAGATTATTGCAAAATTTCATGTTTTCCGTCCCGTATTTGCTCATTTCTCGGAGGCAAAATGAGCAAGAACGCTCATTTGTACGTCATTCTAGAGAGAAATAAATGGGATTTTTAGCAAGTGGACCATCGATAAGGAAATGTTGGCAGTTTTCTCAAAAAATGCTTGAATTCAGGAAGTTTTAGATTTGCGTGGTTTTTTTTTGAGTTGCAAAATCCACTTGAACATGACGCTGCTTTCCTATTTTTTTCGAAGTTTGGCAAAATGCGAAAATAATGCTGATACACGAAGGATGTTTGCACTTACCTCCGGAAGTAACCACATTTATGCACGGAATTTTCAAAAAATGAATCGATTGCACCACACTGGTATAAGCACAGATAAAGCCTGATATACGAACTTTTCTTTGACTGGGGTTCACCAGCCCTTTTCTACTTTTCCCTTTTCTACGACTACAGTTACAAGACTTGTACCTACTGTGTGATACGAAAAAAACACAAGTCTCGTATAGCGATCCATCCTCTATAAACAAATTTTACAATGCCTTCCAAGAACACTAATTAAGCCCCTGCTGGATGGGCAAGGCCTTCCCAGCCAATTAATGCAACCCCTACAGTTCCCAGAGCGTTATTGATATTCGGAACCATTCGCATTGACACAATGCTTGGCAGTTTGTCGGCTATAAACTATGTCACCTTCAACATGGGGACAACGAGGGTAAAATTACCCTCTGTTTAATAGGGCTGCGGTGCCAAGAGCGTAGTTAATTCAAGGAAAATTACCCAGATTCTCTGGCTCGCACGGCGCACTCTGGCGAGATGCCGCCCAACTACGGTCTAACTGCAAAGCGGTCGGGACTGGCGAGACGAGATTTTCTGCTGGTCCATGCAGCATCCGCCTCATGTGCTACAGGCGCCCTCTCTTGGGCCTGACGGGCTGCGGCATGATTAGTTCGGGGTGGTTTTTGTAGGGGCGCTAACAGGAGTCTGGGTACAGGGTGATTTACCCCCTGTGATAACACCAAAAAGTCTGAAAATTCGCGACTGTGAATCTACGTGTGAAAAAAACATTGTGGATCTTTGAAAAGTGAAAATATTGGGGATTGGGTTTTAGAAGAAGGATACTTTTGATATTCAACATATATTTTGAGGTTCTTCAGGGCTTCAAGGAACCATTAAAATTCAACCTAAGTAGACAACACTCAGAACGAGTCAATTAAAAATGAATACACGCAGAAAAACATCAAAAGTCAAACCGTATGGAAGAAACTGTCAAAGAACACTTTTTCCTGTTTGTGAAACAACGGCATTTCTCACTTTCCCTCACAGGGAACGACGATTCCTTCCTCTTCCTTCCCAGAAAACCACACAGTTGAAGTTGACGCCCGAAAGTTTTGTCAAAACTGTCAGCTGACAGCGACAAGTAGTCAAGCTGTCAGAAGCGTACAGGATGATGAAAATTTAATTGCATAGTGGGAGAAAAGGTAAATTGTCATTGTCATGTCATTGTAATGGGTAAAAGTGATTCTTTCGCTATCGCAACCAATGGCAAAACCACCTACTTTCCACCAGGGGATCAAGAGAAGAATTGTTCGTTCCTTACGAATTAAATGCAATGCAATTAGAAACTTTTTTCTTGCCAATTCGACTCATGCTCTATCGAGGTTGATCTTCCGATTGATTTTCCAATTTTTGGATCCTCCATTTCTGTCTGTAATCAAATTTTTTTCTAAGTTAAAGTCCTAAAGTTTCTATGCAGGTAAGGCTTGACAGTCCAGTGACAGGTTTGTCGGTAGCCTTCAAATAGTGACAGGTGTCTCGTCATGCAGCTTCAGACCAGGTGCGTGCACGTAATGGGCCAATTCGAGGGTCAGCGGTGGATCATTTCGGTTTTTCTGAGCGAGACGCGTTTAATAAATATTGCGTGTAGCGCTATTAACGGCAGAGCGGCAAAAAACGTCACAGAATGAAAATGCTCATTTCCGGCCTTTAAACAGCTGGGGTGGAAGCGACTCATCAACGAAAAACTCTAAATTACAACAATATTTTTTGACGCATCCCAACGTCAAACCGTTGCCAAACGCTTGAATGGCGCGCAGCTATTACTCAAAAATGCATAGAATGAAGCATATAACCTGACAAAAAAAAAACCGCCAACTTAATGACAGGTATGGGTTTAAGAAGCACTCGGGTCGAAACACCTGTTTTACGCCGCAATGGACCAATGATAATGGGCCGGGCAGACGAGAAACTAATTACCCACATTCCGCTGTTGTCTTCGGCCTTTTTATACGCATTCCGAACCCGCACTGACCATCGAAGAACGAA